GCCCGTGGGCGCCAGGCTGGGCCCACCCAGCGCTGCGGACGGCACTCGGGGCTGGACTTGGTCCTTGGACAAGGACGTCCTCTTACAGAGGCTCAGCACAACCATCAAAATCAGAACCCACACCTCACAGGGATGGCGCATCCCCGACTCACCGCGGGTGGTACCCGGGTTTGGCGACTGTCCCAACCGCGAACTTCACAGTGATTTCCCTTCCTGGGCCAGCGTCTAATTGGAAACCACTGGTGCTCAGCGCTGTGTCTCATCCCCGGGATACAGAGCAGCTCCACAGCCGGGCTCCTCTCTCGGGGCTGGGCACGCCGTGGGTCAGAACGTCCCTCAGGCTACGAGACTGAGGGCCAGGAAGGAGGCTGCGTGTGCTGTCCTCGGGGCGCAGAGCAGGGGCACATGACCGGCGGGGAGCCGTTCATTGTCGTGGCTGCCCTCCCCTCTACAAAGTCACTTCTGTGGGGACCCTGGGGCTCGCTAAACGTTACCAGTGAGTGCTGACGTCCCTGAGGCCGGGCTGCTACCCGCGGTTCACGGGCAGGGGAAGCAACAGACAATCAAGGTGCCACAGGACGGAAATCCTGAGAAAATGACTCATGGTCTGACTCTACAGGAACCAATTTTCTTCCACTTAGTGGAGACGGGTCCTGCTGCCTCGGCTTCCGTGGAGTCACCTCCAACCGTAAGGGCCGCGTGTCGCAGAGGCTGCGGACCCGGGGCCGGTGGGTGTGGGCACTGGCTCCTCCCCGACCCCAGGCCCCAGCTCAGCTCCGAGGGTGAGAGGACGCACCCCCGCCAGGGGCACTTCCAGAAGTCTGAGAAGGTGAACAGAAGCAGGGGGCCCCCGGGAGAGGGGTCCTCCAGCCGTGGGGCCTGACATCAGCAACAATGACGTGCTGGCACAGAGAGCCCTCAGCTGCTGCTGGTGCGGGCCGCCCAGGCTCTGCCCGTCGCGGTGGTGCGAGGCTGCGCCGCCCCTGCCCTCGGCTCCCCTGCCCCTGCCCTCGGGGCACCGCCGGTGTGCCCTGGGGAGGCTCCTGGGTTCCCTCTGCCCCTGCTCACAGAGCTCATGTGCTCCCGGGGTGGAAATACTTTACCACTGGTTTGAGCATCACGAAGACCAACTTTACTGAGAAAACAGCAGATCCAGGTCTCAGCAGAGAAGCCCGACCATCCCCACGGACGTTGGCCAGGGACTGGGCACCACGTGAGGACTAGCGTGGGGCCCTGGGATTCTGCCAGCCGTGCCCCCCAGCACCGAGGGCGGGGGGTGGCCCTGATCCTGGGGGTCAGTGCTCAGGGCAGCCGTTAGAGAAGGCTGGGCTCCGAGCTTCCCTCACCTGCCCAGTGTGTGCGTCCGCCCCCACGTCCCATGCCCCGAGTGGCACAGACGCCTCTGTACTTTTGATGGAAAAGACGGGGCCTCCCAGATCCCCTTCTGTTAACTGAGCGGCAGCGACAGCCCGCAACACGGATGGGGTGCTGCACGGGAACCTGGCCACGCACCTGCTGTGTGTGCAAGCCATGTGTGCATGTGAGGTGCACACGTACGTGTCTCCTGTGCCTGTCTACGCACATGTTACACCTCGGCGTGTCTCCACGTTCACACGCGGATGTCTGCGTGTGCGTTCCTGCGTGTGTATCTATATGTGTTTGCACATGTGTGGACACAACCCCCAGGCTCCAGAGTGCTGGACTGCAGGGGCTCAGCACCTCCCCTACCCTCCTTCTTTAACTGGGAAAATGAGAACACACCTGGGGACAGCATGTGTCTAGGAGCTGGGGCTGGAACCGGGCCAAAGCTGGTGACCAAGTTAGCAACTGTCTTGGGGCACGCAGCACATTCACCACGAGTCCTGGGTCAGGGCTGGGGGGCCGCCGGGAGCACGAAGCCGGGCAAGCGCCTGGCCAGGTCAGATCCGAACCAGACACTCAAAACCCCCAGGTCTCTGCTGCCACTGGTCACCGGTCACAGTGCACGTTGGCTGGAGGCATGGACATGGGCCCTGCCCCACCTGAAGCCAGCCACAGAGAGCCTGGGGCAGCAGGATCCACATGGTGCCTGACGTCAGAGCAGGGGGCCGGGCAGGACTGCAGTGGGGTCAAACACAAAGCACATGGGCTGATCCACATGGGCAGGGCCGCCCGTAGGGACCGCTGTGCACCCTGGGGAGATGGTGCACGGAGTGAAGGGTGGAGGTGGCACTGTTTCTCGGGGGGACTTTCTAGTGGGAAGACCCCCTCAATGGCAGGAAGTCTTCACTGTGACCAACAGTCTGTTGGAAAGACCGAATCAGATCCCCTCTGGGGTCAGAGGAGGGACCGGATTAGGGAACGCAGCAGGCCCTGTGGGCTCCTCCTCCCAGCCACCCCGTCAACTTGGGGCCCAGGGTCTGGGGCCTCTGCTGGCCTGGGCCTTGCCCTGCCCGCTGACCAAGCTCTACTTAGCCCAGCTCCAGGCGACACACTCAGAAAATGCCCAGCTGTACTGAGCAATGACTATTCCAAGTTGCTCAGAAATCTGATCCCAAACCCCCTCATTTCTAAATGTCTTGTGCATGTAAGTACCCAGGATGGGCTCTTGTGGATGAGGGGGGCTGGCGGCCTCCTGGGAGACATGCAGGCTTTCCTGTTTTGAAAAGAGGAGCCATTTGACTGGCTGATGCCTCCACACTTCCAACATGGTCGGTGAGAGGGAGACACATGGATGCAAGCACGCAGCCCCTCCCGGTAAGCATCATGGCTTAAAAACAGTGGCTGTTCACCCTGACCTGCCCAGTGGCCCCGAAGCCCAAGTGGGGGACACGAACCCAGGGCACCTCTCCTGAGATGGAACAGGGCATGCAGAAGGGAGCGGGGGTGGTGGCGAGGCCCTGGACACACTCCTGGGAGCCACCCACAGGGTCAGCCCGGAGGGAAGGGCACCTGCAGTCTGGGGCCTTTAGGGGAAGATGAGGTCCAGTCTCGGAGAGCGTCAGGAAGCCAGCAAGCACTAGTAAATGCTCGGGCGGCACTGTGCCTGTGGGCACAGAAGGGGGGCCTGTCTGCAGTGACCCGCTCAGCAGACATCTGCCAGGACGCCTGGTGGCCCCGAAGCCACACCCTGGGCGGTGTGGGTGTTGCAGCTCCCGAGCGAGCACAGGGACTCAGAGGAACGGCCCTTGGGGAGGTAAAGTGGTGTCACTGGGCATCTGATTGCGTGGGGCCGATGGACAGGAGGCAGGAGTGGAGAGAGGATGCTTCAGGGGGGCTGTGCGCACTCTGCTCGGCTGCGGCTTGTTTTTGATGATTCAAACCCGCCTGCTCCTGGCTGAGCCCTGGGAGCCGCCGGAGGGGCGGGGGGTCTGAGCGGAGGCGGCTCCTGGGTGGGCAGGGCGTGCTAGCGACCTGAGCTGCCGACCCGAACCTGCCGCTTCATACCTTTGAGGGCAGGCAGTGCGGCTGCTGCGCCCCCAGCCCCGGGCGCAGGCCAGGGGAGGCCCCTGCACAGCCGATCGGAGACAGGAGCTAGGGAGACAATGGGGGCCCTCTGAGGCCTCGGGAGGACACTTTCCCATCGCACGCGGCCCCGTGTGCCTTTGTCTCCAGCGCAGGGACCGCGTCGCAGACAGGCAGCCGGGCTCTACTAACCTCCCTGCGACATGTGCTGGGGTGGGGGTCCCTTGGCACTCAGGGGACCCTGTAGCCACAAGTTCTCAGCACCAGCGTCAGGGGCCAGGGTGGTGGCTTGTGAGGGTCCGCGACAGCCCAGGGAGTGATGCGTAGACCACAGTCCTGCCCTCGTGGCCGGCTCCCCACCCCACCACACCGTCCTACTTCCAGCAGGAGCCCTGCTGGGAGGTATGAAAGGACAGCCAGATGGGTATGGGGGGGGCACCCTGGCCCCCTCCTCTGGCTCTGCTGAGCACCTGCAGGCCCCGCCCAGACCCCCGTCCCCATCTCACCCTGCCCCTCCATGGCTACCCCGTCCTAGGGCCAGGATGCCGTCCACAGTGGCATCTCTGCCCAGACTTCCTCCCACGCAGGGCCCTTGCCCAGGTGGTCCCTGACTGAGAAACCTTCTCTCCAGGCCGGCGTAGCCCCTCGCCAGGACGCCTCATCCTAGCCGATTCCCAAGGAGGGCTCCCACCTGGGCTCCTGTAGCACCTTGCTCAGACCATCGGAGGGCTCTTGGTCACTCGGCTCCAGTGTTGTCCACCTCACACAGGTCTCCCACCTGCCACCGCGCCCAAATACCTTAAGATCCTCCCAGAAGAAACAACTTTGTCATCACCACCACCAAAATAGTGCTTCTGAGCATTTCCACATGCTGGGAACCATGCAAGCGCTTCCCACGCTCTTTCTCCTGAATCCCCTACCACCTGAGGTCGGGCTGTGATTACCTGGTTCACAGATGGGAATACTGAGGCTCAACTAAGGAACCAGTCCGGGTGGTATCAAGTTTGCCTCCACCTCCCAAGTGTAAGCGGGGGCAGGGCAGCCAGGAGGCACTGGGGGGTGGGGTGGGAGGAGGTCAGTGCTGGCCTGGGGGCTCTGCTGCAGAGGAGACAGCCCTAGCCTCCTGGGGCCACAAAGCCTTTTGGAAAGCCGATGGAAGGAGCTGCCTCCAGCACACGTTTACCTTAAATCTCAGGGAGTCTGGGGACAGCTGAGGCCCATCTACAGACCCTCCAAGACGTCACTGATCTGAGGGCCCAGCTCCCTTTGATAGGAGGGGATGAGATGCGGGGGTGAGATCTGGCAGCTCTGGAGTGAAAGGTGGGAGAAGGGGGTCAGGCTGAGCTCCCAGGCCCTGCCCCCATCCCCTTCCCAGCTGCACAGGAGTAATATTTCCTGGTGACATCCTCTCCCTCCCTGACCCAGAGGGTGCACAGGCTGGAAACGACTTTCGAGGTTTAGGAAAGAGAAGACGGAGGTGCCCCTGAGGGAGAGCCTGCCAACCCTGCCCCCAGGCCAGACCCCGTTTCTTCCCCGCCCCTGAGGCAGCTGCTCACCTGGATGACGACCTTGATCGTGGCGGTGCCCACCACGGGCGTGCACACCAGGCCGCCGGGGTGATGGCCGTCGGCACTGCGGTTCTGCTGGCCCATGGTGAAGGGCATGGGCACGGCCAACAGGCCCGAGGCGAGCCAGATGGCACTGATGAACTTCTTGGTGCGGCTGCGGGACATGAGGGTCTTGGCCCTGAAGGGGTGGCAGATGGCCAGGTAGCGCTCCACACTGAGGCTGGCCACGTTGAGGGCCGTGGCGTAGGTGCAGGCCTCCCGCAGGAAATAGTACCCGCGACAGCCGGCGTCGCCGAAGGCCCAGGGGTGGTGCACCCAGATGAAGTTGTACAGCTCCACGGGCATGGCCAGCAGCAGGATGAGCAGGTCGGACAGCGCCAGGCTGCCCAGGTGGTAATGCACGGTGCTCTGCAGGCTCTGCAGCCACTTCTTGCGCCCCAGCGTGAACGCCGTCACCGAGTTGCCCACCGTGCCCACCACGAACAGCGCCAGGTACACGGTCGTCACCAGCACCTTGGAGTAGATGTCCGTGTTCACGTCCAGGTCGCTGCTGGGCGCCGCCCGCAGGTGCTCGGACTCGTTGCCCGTGCCGTTACCGAAGCCGGGGGCTAGCAGCGCCGCCTCCAGCCCCGAGGGCGGCAGCGGGAAGGGTTTGGCGCCCGCCGCGCCCTGGGGGCCCGGCGCCGAGCGGTTGAGGCGCATGGTGGGCGCGGCTCCGGCTCCGGCTCCGGCTCCGGCTCCGGCTCCGGCGCGGACCTAGCGGAGGGAGCCGGCGGGGAGGGCGCAAGACTGCAAGCGGGCGCGCCGTCCAGCCGGGGAGCTCCCGACCCGGCCCGCGCCGCCGCGGAGCGCTCGAGGCGCGCTCACCGGGGGCTGCCGGTTCCCTCCCGCTCCCTGCAGGCCCCGGGCTCCTCCGATCGCCAGCCTCCGCGGCTATGCGGGCTGCCGGCTCCAGACCCCTCGGGTCCGCGGCGCGGGGCGAGCCTGGGGCGCGAGCGGAGCGCACGCACGGCCGCCCCGGCACGCTCCCTCCCTCGCCTGCGCTGTCCTCCCTCGCGCTCTCCGCGCACACCCGCTCCGCGCACGGCCCGCCGCGCCCGCGCCCTCCCGGGCTCCGCGCCTCCACTCCGCTGGCGGCAGCGCGGCGCGCCCAGCCGTGGGGGGCGGTGGCGGCGGCGGCCCCTCCTCTGTCCCCGCCCAGCCCAACTGTAGGGCTGGCGGGTCTCCGCGCGCTGCCGCGGGTGAGTAGGGGATATTGGTGCTTTCCCCACACCCTCTCTCAGGAGCACGCCCTCCGTTCGGGTCTGCCCAACTTCTCTCGCCCCCACCCACCCCAGGAAGGCAACTGCCTCCAGGTCGTTCGCAGCGCTCTCAGGGGGGTGAGGGAGGTAAGGGGGGACAGGGCTCGCAGCCCCGCTGGGATGGCTGGGGTATGGTGCCAGCAACCGGGTGCCCTGCGGCTAGAGCCAGGTGGGAGTGGTGGACGAGGTGGGGAGCAAAGCAGCGCCCCTCCCCAGGCAGGCTGGGGTCCTGCACCTGGCACCCTGTGGTGGCTGCCAGTGGGCACACGCCCCTTCATCACCACCTGGATTTGATCATCAGAAGTCCCCTCAGAGCACATGCCCAGCAGGTTGGGGAAGGGTGGCCCTGGGGGTCACAGCCTCAGGGCCCCGCCTCGTCCCAGTGTGGACCTGGCTGGTTGTACCAGCTGTGCCGAGAACAGGAACCTGGAGGAGGCTGGGCACGGGGCTTGGGGTGTTGGAGAAAGGGGTGAGGCCTAAGAAGGGTGCCCGGACCCCGGCCCCGGCCCGGCAATGGGTCTGTATTTACTCCTCTCTTTTCAGCTGGCTTTGGGCTTGACTGTTCCTCAGAAACCTGATGTTCTCATCAGGGGATCCTAGCACATAAAAATATGTGCTTAAAAGTTCAGCCTTCGAAGACAACACAAACATCCCTTTGCTGGAAACCAGTAGAAGAGGCTCGGAGGCAGCCAGCACGGCTTCATCCTGGCCTTGCTGCTTTGTATTCGGGCAACTGCTTTAGCGTCTCTGTGCCTCGGTTTGTCATCTGTAAAATGGGCATGGTGATTGAACGGATGGCCCCCGGGGCCAGGGCTGTTACTGGTGCTGTCAGTGCGGGCACATAGTAGGTGCTCAGTGAACTCCTGCGGGGTTGGCGTTGCAGGATTGTGCCGTGGCTTCAGAGGGTGTGAGGGTGCAGGGCCCAGGCCAACAAAAGTGGCATTAAACCCCCAGCGGATCTGACCAGCTTACTCTCTGGAAGGCAAGTCCACCAACTAGGTAAACGGCTCTTGGGATGGGGACCTGGGTGTGCCGGTCACAAAAGGAAGTGATGGTGCTAGACCACATCGGAGCCCTGGGGGCTCACGGCCACCTCGGCTCACAGGCGACACTGGGGTCTTAACCATGGATGGTGGCATCTGGTCGCCGCTCTCAGGAGCCTCCCCAGGGGAAGGCCCCAGCCGGTGGCCACTGGGGCCTGTCCCTTTGTGGGCCACTAGCTGAAGCTGCTCAGGATGACACTGATGGAAATGCACTCTGGCTCGGCTGCTTAAACTCACTGTTTGGTTTTCAAACCCTGACCTTTCCGCTAAGCTGGCCTTTTTTTCAAATATTTCTTTTTCAGCCAGCCTAGGAGCTTAAAAAATCATAAAAGTCAACTTAGCACAAATATTGGACAAGACATTTGTTTAAAACCATGGAGGAAATGTCACTTGGAAGGCCTTGGTCTACAAAGTGGGCGGCGGGCCCTTGTCGGGGGCTCCCTGGCAGCCCACTTGGAACCCCTTTCCCGTGTCCCGAGAGCCTGGACAGCGCGGAGGCCAGAACCTTCCACTCGTTTGGCCCTTTCTCTCTCTGACTTCCCCTGACGCAAACACGTCCTAAACAGCTGAGACTCTTTAAAGAAAGTGTTGGCAAGGTGCGGGGAGGACTGAGGCTGGGTCGGGCTATGTCTGTGGGAGATGGGCTGTGCCCTTGGTGGGTGCAGGCCCCCACACTGACCGGCGAAGCCCTGCAGTGTGAGCTGCTCCCGGCTGCCCGGAGAGCCTCGGGGCCTGTCGCCCTGACCCCAGGCTCCAGATGCTACGTGTCGCGGGGAGCTGGCCCTTCCCATGGGCACTGAGGGCTGAGCTGCATGCACGGAGCCCGCTGGGCAGGTCCCGGCACTGTCCCAGTGCTGCAGCTGTGGGAGGACTTGGGGGCACTCACTCGTCTCAGGAGCGCAGACTGTGGGTGTGAAACACCTGCTTTTCTGGCTGCAGAATTCAGTCCCTGGAGTTACCAGCGCCATGGGCTGCCCTCCACGCTGGAGGTCCCTCTCTCTCCTCTGGGCCCCATCCGCTGGAGGGCAGTTCTTGCCAGCAAGAGACATCTTCCTAAATTAAAAAAAAATAGTAACTTAACAGCAATACCGGTATCAGGACATCATGATGCTGTTTCCTGCAAGACTGGGGGCGGGGGGAGTGAGCGCTTATCTGGAGGGTAAGTAATTTGAGGAAATGTAATATGCATATTTGCAGAGTTTTAGCTGTGGATTTTCTCATCCACGGCATGGAAATCGCACACGTTCCCGAATGTACAGCATTCCAAGGGAAATTTTAAAAATAGAGCAACACATGTGCAAATGTAAGCGAAGTGTGAGTGTGAGCCGGCCGGAGGGGTGGGCCGAGCCTCATTCAGCTGGGGCCCCCGCGGGCTCATGGCACGTGTGGGCTGCTGACCGACCCCAGAGCTCCCGCTCCAGGCGGTGCACTTCCGCTGCCTCATCCTCGTCTCTCCCGTCCTCCCGGTGAGCCACACGCCCATCACGTGGTCTGTGTGCGTGTGTGCACGTGTGAACAAGAACCCGTATGTTGGGCACCGGGGCACAAGGGCTCAGAGTATCTTCGTTGGCAAGCCCATCGCCTGCCTCTGCCCCTGGGCTGGGTGCCTGCTTTTCAGAGAAAGCCGTTCGTGCCGTGGGGAGGGAGGAAGCCCCCTGAGCGGGGAGCATGCGTCCAGCGTCACCCCTCCTTGGGAGCTGCTGTGCAGAAGCTTGACTGGGCTGCAGCTTTTCGGCCGAATGTGCGCTAGAACCACTGTGGACGCCTTCACAAGGGCTGTGCCCCGGCCCCGGGGCCCCTCATCCTCGGGTCTCTGTGGACCAACGCTGACAGTTAGTTTCCATCGGCCAGAGGCCCTCTCCCTAGGCTTCCCTGCATCCACCGTCCGTTTGTCCATCTGTGCAGCACTCACCGAGTGTGGTCAGCACCCGGGGGCAGGGGACTGCCTTCCCAGGGCTCGCGGCGCAGCGAGTGGAAAGCTTTCTGTGCAGGGCGGGGCTTATTCCCTCTGGGCGTGCAGGGAAGGCTGCGCTCTGGTTACAGGTGGGGGGCTGGTCCCTCTGGGACCCTCGCCCTCCAAGTCTCAGTTGTCACCCCCCCAGAAGCCAGCCCCTCCCTCTAACCAATCCTGGAGGTTGGTCAAGCAGAACCACTTGACGGCAGCTCCTGGCCCTTCCAGCAGACGAGGGCAGGGGAGCTCGGCGGAGCGGCACCAGCGTGAGCCCCATCGGGGACATTGCCGGCTCCTGCCCAGAGCCGCGCAAGGAAGCTGGTGTTTGGGGGGAGAGGGGCCACGTCAGATCGTCCCCTAAGGAGAAAGAAAATCCAACTCCCAAGACCTGTTCCACGCAGCTCGGGTCCCTAGAAGCGTCCTGGGAAGGCTTTGGTCGGCTTCGGGCAGGCATGCACACAAAGGATGCTTGTGAGAATTGCCTTTGAGGCTGCACACTAACTTCTCCGGACCAGGCTTGGAACGGACCGAGTGACCCTCCAAACGGAGGCCATTGCCGCCTCCCCGCTCATCCCCTTCAGGTCATGCTGGGAGGAGGGTCCCTAATTTGCTCTTGGGCAAAAGACACACACACACACACACACACACAGCATGTCTAACACAGAAGGACAAACAATCCCATCTGCTCAGCATGCAAAGAAAAGCAGTATGTTGTCAGCTCTCACCCTAGGAGATGGAGAGTTTTTATGCTTGTTATAAATTTACCAATTTGTGGTTGAATTTCCCAGGCACGCTTCTGAACACAACAGGCAATTTAAAGTTGAAAGGGTCCTGTTTGGCTAAAATGAGGCTTCCATTTATTACTTGGAGGAAGGGGGACCAGGAGGAAGGGGGACTGGGAGTTCTCGGATTCGATAGTGGCTGGCTGTTTGACAGCAGGGTGTGGGGACCCCTCCCCGGGCACAGCGGGCGGCCCCGGGGCGCGGCGGGCGGGGGCAGGCGGGCACCGGGGCCTCTTTCCCCGCCTTCCTGACTCCTCTCCTTGGCAGGGAGGATGGAGTTTGCATAAACATGACGCTCATGGCTCCAGCTCTTCCTCTGCGGATCTGAAGCGCACTCCTTTTGTCTGTAATCAGGGGTTCTAGTTGCCTGGAAATATTTAAATAGAAGAAATGTCTCTCATCTCCTAGTGACTTCATACAAGTTCCAAAAATAAAACCTGAACCCGGGGCTCTTTTGTCATTCTTGCCTTGGAGCTCCGGTGGCCTGTTCAAGGGTACACACGGCCAGGTGCGGGGGGCTGAGGGCAAGTGACCACAGGAGCCTGGGATGGAGGGCGGGTCCCACAGAGGCGCGGCAGAGGCTGTGGATTCTGCGGGCGTGCGCTCTGGCCAGCAGGCGCGCCGA